AAACCTACTGAATACTGGAAAAAGTACGACTTTATGAATAATATGGTTTAGTTGTACGCCAGTTACTTTTTCCACTTTAAAAAAACAACAAAAATTGCATACTTACAAAAATTGACGTAAAAAACGCAGGCCCAAAAAACACTCGGTGCTTAAGAAACGTCTGAGGGCAACTGTTTTAAACACGTTCCAGTCCACGCGGCCGCTTGCACGATTTCGCTAACCCCCTCAATTTTTTTTCTCTTTCAAGGACCCGTTGTCCGAATTTATTCGTGCTGTCCGAAGTAGCCCCGGTTTACGGTACTTATTAGCATAAGAAATATATGTTGAAAAAAAGATGTAAATTAATGAATAATAATATCATCAAAATTACACGTTCCAATGAATTATTATTAGATTTTTTGATTTTTTGTTTCTTATTTTTTTTTGTTTTGGCTGAACTATAGACATTCATTAAAATTACAAAATGGAGAAATTTTGTGATGCTCTTCGATAGGACAGTCATCATAGAACCATTCATAAATTTCAGTTCCACAATAGTAACATTTGCATACATCACTAAATGAAATATGATAAAAGCCTGCTCCAGCTAATACCTAAGGTTCCAATTTTTCATTCCAGTTTTTAAAAGTAGAAAGTCGATTTTCATAAGTTTTATAAGTAACATCATCAATATTTTTATCAAAACTTTCCAAACACATCTTAAGAAAGGTTAATAATAAATGAAATATTGTCAAAGGCGTATTCTTTAAGTAGGTATATTTTTCATTAAAAATGCATTATCCATATAAAAGTATATTATTAATTAAAATACAACAATTAAAACTTATCTAACATATAAAAATATATTTTACTTATTTAAAATAATTATATGATTACTACATTCTAAATAGGTTACATAATACATAAAATATATTTGTTCCTCTAAGTCTATAACTAATATCCATAAATTATGATAAGTTTAAAACATTCAAGGGAATAATAAATTAATATTAATAAATATATTTAATATATTAAATTAATAAGTTAAAACATTTAGGAGGGGAATGAAAAATACAATCAGAGTGAATCATATTAAATGTTTAAATTAAAGAAATAATATTAAATTAAATATTATTTAAAAAATACGCTGAGGTCTGGATGATCAGCATTCCACTGGTAAAATGAAATATCATGATAACCCCAAGCAAGCGTAGTATAATCATACGGTATTTTATATCGTTTACTGTCTTCAGAATTCAATGCAATTTTATGAATTAATTCGGTAAAAATTGAATGTAGCCTCGAACGAAAAACATACATGGAACAGAAGGTTTTAGAATTATTTTCTATTACATCTTTATAGTGGATAAAATCCAGCTGATTTTTAATAGCATATTTTTTAACACCTTGGTACACCTTTGGCTTTTTTTAATAAATGACTTTCGGTTTTTACGTTTTTACACAGTAAGCTTTTACTCTGGTACCATAGAAAGCTACAATGGGTTCACCAGCATATTCATCCTTAAATTTACCAACCACTGATTGTGTTATAGGCATATTATGAATATTAATTGGCAAATAATTGGAAGTGTCAAATTTATGAATATTTCTATGCATATCATGGTAAACATTTTCTGTTGTCACTTCCAGAATAAAAGAATCTGACAAAAGAGACACATTATCTTTATACAAAGGTTTTAAAAAATTATAAAAACAATCGTACATGACAGTTTTTGATATGTCTAAAATACAAAATCCAACGTATATTGGTTTATTATAAGTAATTAGTATTTTTTTCATTTGAATAGCGACTAAGTTTTCTGAGAAAATTGTTAAGTCCTTGAAATATGGCTTTGCTATCCAATTTTCAGCTCCATCTTTTCTTTTATTTTTTTCCCATTCGATAACAAGTCTTACATCGACTCTCCTATCCACATTTTCCATTGTTTTTCCGTATATACTATTGTTTGCTAATTTGTATGTGGGGCGATCAAATTCATTTTTCGATTGATTTCGTAGTGTGGTATTAAAGTCTATAAATTTTTTTAACCAAGTAGATTGTGAAAATTGTATAACTATGAATTTTAGAAATCTTAAGTCCATTTTGTAGACATTGTTTTAATAATTGGTAATGAATTACATATTTTGATTTATTGTTTAAATTTGGTATTAATTTTGTAGATTTTGAATTAGATTGGTTTATAGTTTTCAGGGCAAAAAGGAAAATCATTATGAGTGTCGTGGAGACTTTCAGGATATTCCAGATCAACTTCTAGAACATATCCTTTGCTAGATGTATTAGAAATTGAAAAAATATCTAGATTTATTTCTTTTTCGGTTAACCATACAAAATTACCTGTTGGCAGATATTGGGACATAGCAAAAGTATAGTATAAATTTGTTGCATCATAGTACATTATATATTTATTAGGTTTTGTTGCATCAAAATTTGATAGAAAAGGATTGTTTGCCTCTGATTTCCGTGTTATGCATGAACTTATCCCAACACAAACGCTATTTTTTAAAAAAATGCAACATATCCGGATCTGTTAATGATTCCAGTTCTATACCTGTATAACGTAAACAATCTTCCCATGATAAGCCGAGAAATGTGTAAAAGTGTTAGTTAACATGTAACAAATATGATTTTCGAAAATTTTCGAAAATATCAGCTAAAGGTAAAGTATCTGATAGCAAATATATATCTGAATAATGTCCTATACTTTCACATTCGAAAAGATCCCAAACTTTAAGAGCTCTTTGATATTCCTCGTCAGAAATATGTTCATCTGTTAAACTATTAAAAAACTGATCTTTTCAGGTAAAACAGTTTCCTCTAATTTTTCAAAACTGTCAATATAACTATATGGAAATATACCTTTTTGACGAATAAGTTTAAATTGTTCCTCACCTTCGAAAATCTTTTTTATTTCTTTACATTGTTCATCTTTCAAAGTATCTACTAAATTAGACAAAGAAAATGATAAGAATTGAAATGAGTCGATAAATCTCAATGATAAATTTCTTTTTTTTTTTAATTTTTTGTATGTTTATCAAAATAATTCTATACGAGAATGTGTTTTTCAAAAGAAATATATTTCTCTTTATTTTGGGCAATTACTGATAGTTGTTCTTTATTTGAACACATTCTTTATAAATAGGTGACTATCCTAATTACGTAAGTTGTGCATTATAACTGGAATAAAATTAGGGATTTTAAAGTTTATATTACATAAAGAGCAAAATACAACAATGATCGGCAACTTTATCCCCTAAATGCGGTTTATCACAAATATGACAGTTTGTGGCATTATTATGTGTAGTTTGTTCTAATTCGGATAGAGTATTCATTTTTTTAGAGGTTTTTAGAAAAGTGTGATATAAATTTAATACATCTTGTTCTAGCGAATTTATAAAAACTTTTTCGCTATTCAAACCTCTATATTTTTCAAACTTAAAATATTCATCATCAAATGAACATTTGATATAATACGCAAAAGAGTATGGAATATGTTCAAATTTTTTTAATGTATATGAATTATTTGGATTTTCTACATCATAATTCTCATTCAAAGGTTTTAAAATACATTCAAAATCTGCATATACTATAAAAGGAACTTTCATTTGCTTTTGATAATTAACATATTTTAATGTGTTTTCGTATGCTACATTTCCATATTTGTCTTTAAATAATTCTTTAGAAGGTATACTAATTCTAACATAATCACAATCATAACTATTATGATACTGTAGCGTTTTTTTTAAACAACTACCACTGCGAACGGCAGCTTTTCATCGGAGAGCAGTCGTGGATAAGGTATTTCACTAGAGAGAAAATTAATCAATAATAATAAACAAAATATATATAGATATTGGGCGCCAGGCATGTACAGAGAAAGAAAACACAGTTGTATAATACTTAAAACTAATGACTATATTTATTCATGATGAATTCTGATTGTAAATAGCATTGTACAATTTTAATAATTATTATAGTGGTTATTTGTTGAGTAAAATTATGTATGTAAATAATATTAAATATGTTCTATGAAGACTATGAAAAAATACAATGCGTGTAACGTTATAGAAAATATAAGAAAAGTAGCATTACTTATTTAAATTGTCAAATTTTATGCGGTGTTAGATCTGATGTGTTGCAACCTGTAGATTCTAGAATCTATGTCTCGTTATTCATCTGTTAATATAGCGCAATAATAATATCTATAGAAAGTAATACTATTACAAAGCGTAATATAATGAAACCTAAAATCTAAATCACATTGTAACTACTGAATCGACATAAATGTTCTTACTAATCTAACCACTAAATATAGTCTGTACGATATTATTTAAAATGTACGTTACTGTTTAAGACTGAAAATATAGAAAATCTAAAACATAAAAACTAGAACGTAAATCTACACTTGTACACAGCTGTTCTTTATGTAATCTTGCTTCAAACAGTAGCAGCGCGAGGAGGTCTAGCATCTCTGTACTGTCTGTCGGCGATCCAGGCTTAGAAATGGGGTTGAAGCAGCACGGGGCTCAAGCCACATCCACGCTGGGGCACTCTATGTGTAAGACAAATCAATCCTATTGGGGACACTTGTCCATGGGACATCCGTCCATAAGATAGTGGCACAAGAGAACACTACTAGGACCTTGAAAAATAGTCCATACCTTGGACACTTGTCCGTAAGACAATGTCCGTCCATAAGACCCTCGAAATACTTCTGAGGGCTCAATAAATAATAAACAATCTGTCCTTTCTTCCAAATGACATTCTGGAGGACAAAAGCAAAGGGACGCCAACGTGCCAGCCAAATACAAATACAAGTTGGGACATCCGTAACTCTACCCTGTAGCTTCGAAATGGCAGCTGATTCAGATAATACAGCAAGATTTAAATAATCACCATTTCTCAAAAACTGGGACTAATGGCGTCTGACAGGTCAAACAGTCTAACCAAAAGTGAAGTTAGATCACAGAGAATTGACAGAAGCGATGTTGACAGCGCGCGCTCCCACAGAGCAATAACAGGGTTGTGCCAAACCATAACAGGGTTGTGCCCAGACATCATATATCATAATCAAAGACATGTAACGAACTAAAAACGCTACAATACTGTTGAATTTTTGTTCTGTATCAAAGTATTGAAGACGTCCTCCACACAAATATTTTCTTCCATTGTGTTTACTTAGTTGTTTAGAAATTAATTTAGAAAGATTGGAAATGTAGCAATAATGAAAATTTCCATCATCATTGTTTATCAATAATAAATTAACATGAATATTTTTTTATCACTAGAAAAATGTAGAGGACCAATTATTTCATATTCTTCATTATTAGAAATTTTATTATAATATTTTTCTAAACCGTATACATTGATAGAAATATTGTTTTAATGTCTAATGTTATTGGAAAATCAATACCTGCAGTGTTCAAAACTGTTGAATAGTATGGGTGTGATAATGTTTGAAAATCAAAACCTCTTGGAGGATGAAGGGCTGCAACTACGGACCACGCGAAGCAGTAGTCATCGTTATTTCTTATGTTGACGACAGCTTGACGTTGTGTTATTTCGGGAGGAAGTTCAATAAACGATGACGCTCTCAAAGGATTGAATTTATTGATGTTTATCTCCAAAAAAAGAAGATTTAGTAAAATCCATCCTGAAACAAAAAAATAAAATTAATTCATTATGTTACATTTTATATTAAAATTATAAAGCCGCGTCCAAGCTACTCGAACAAAATGTTCGCGAACATAATATAATTAAACAGATACTAAGTGAAAATTGTGAGATACGTAGATTTATAAATAATAAAGCCAACAAGTACAGCTAGCCTAGGCCTATTAAGGTGCGCGGAGCGCCGAACGGCTAGCTTGTACGCCAGAGCGTGCGTCTGCCTATGCTAGAGCGCGCGCGTTCTTTTTCCGACGGGTGTTGGTAAATCAAAAGGAGCGAACGGCGTGCATTTCGGCGGACATTGTACCGGACACTTGGAAGGGTCTCATTTAATTTCGGGCGTCCATCTGTGATTTTTATTTTTTACCGAGTATTCGACAATGGGGGACGCAGTTATTGACTGGGATCGTGAAAAACATTTACAACTAATTTGTTTACACAAAGAAAAGATTTTACAATTTTAATTTTATTGTGGGTTGAGTGTGAATAGCTATGTATCTAGACTTCGTCCATATAATTTCATTTTTGTTAATAAAGACCTTTGAATGAAAAAATAAAGACCTTGAAAGCTGGATGAATTTAATTTTTATTAAAAACCGGAATTATGGGATTCTGAAATTAAAAATTACTACTTAATAGGAAGTTTGACACCGGAAATGAAATTTTACCATTGCATTTTTAAATATAATATACCGGGTGTTTCTGAAAAGTGGTTCACTTCTATAGCTTTTTTAATTTTTTAGATAAAAAATGAGATTTGGTATGTTAGTATAGGACATAAATCAGGATTGATCGACGTTTTCATTTATTTTCGGTCACTACCTATTTCACCGGAAATTACAACAACTTTTGATTTAAGTGGCACCCTCGGTATTTTTTTACCGTATATGACAGAAAATGACATTTTAAATATAATGATATATTATATGTCAACTTTTGACATTTTGAATTTAAAAATGGCCATAAATAAACGTAACGACAATTTTACTCCAAATACCAAGTATACCAAATTATTCGTAAAAAATGCTTTTTCCAAATATGCTATAAGCCTGCCTCGTACCATTTGAAAAATTTGAGTTATCATTAAAAATACGATTTGGGCATCTTTTAAGCGGTCATGAAAGGATACGAAAAAAAATTACACGATCAAATATATGTTTCCAAAGTTCTTTGATTACAAATTAATAGTTTTAACTCAGTCTTGGCACTCTAGACTGAAATTTAAAATGCTATTTTTATTTAATTGGAATTGTCTAAAATTGACGTATGGTATGTCATTCTATTCAGAATGTCATTTTCTATCAAATAAAGTAAAAAAGTACTAGGATACAATCTAAAAATACAAAGTTGTAGTCATTTCCGGTGAAACAGGAAGCGACCGAAGGTAATTTAATACGTCCATCAATCCCGATTTATGTCATGTACTAACAAACCAAATTTCGTTGTATTATCTGAAAAAATAAAAAAGTGAGCCCCTTTTGAGAAACACCTGGTAGAATCGGCTGAAAATGAATACAGGTCTTAAAAATACACTATAACGAATAATCTACCAAAAGACCCCTGTGACCCTCCGCTTGCTAAATATTGATTCTTCAACAATAAAAGTTCTTAAACTGTTTACCGGTTAGTTTATTTAATAAAATGCTTGCACTCGAAAAAACAGCGACTACCTAAACGCATCCTAGATCTATAGAACAAACTGGTTGTCGTATTCTTCCCCGCACCTCAGTCCTCGGGACCGATGCGATGGGCTGTGCCGTCGTTTATGACCTGCTGCTACGAGTATATAGTGTGAATTATATATGTTCGCGAACGTTTTGTTCGAGTAGCTTGGACGCGGCTTAACACTTACCAGAGTCCTTTTCTGCGAATTCATCAGTCTTATGGTCAATAATTGTTAAAAAATCTTCTATTAAGTCCTTTGTTGCACTGCTGTTACAAATTATTTTAAAAGGTGTATTGAACAATTTGACATCATGATTATCGCTACTGGGGTTATAGTAATAACTAAAAAGCTCCATGTTAATTTTAAGACAAACATGTTTTTTCAATTGGTTGTCAAACACCCGTAGAATCTTTTGTCCCAATATTTTAAAATAGTTTTTAACATTCAAAATATTTTCTTCGGTAGATAATCTGTATGATATTATCCTTTCCTTGAAAGCTGATTTTATTACTTGAATTCCCTTTTCCTCCAACGTTTTACAGTTTTTTGTGACTGTTTGAACGCAGATGACCAACCCACAAATTTTGTAAAATATGTTCTTTACATTGTGAACAATATTTTTCTATAAATGAAATTATTGTGTTAGTTTAATAAATTATACACAATGGGAATGTCTTACTTTTTTCTTCAGCTGCTGACCTACCCAAGAGACAGTTTAAAAAAGAAGACTTTGTGCACGCATTGTTTAAGTGACGAGTTAAACTGTCTTTACGACTGAACGACTTTTGACAAGATGAACATGTGAACATCTATCAATTTAATTCTGTGAGAATTTTTTAATATAAGATTATGTTGCATATTTGAATCTGATTTGAATATTTGAAAGGTTATGAATAAAATTTGGAAAGAAGAATGTGATAATATATTTTTCAATTTAATAAAAAAAAATGAAAAAAATGCAAATATTTAATTAAATGAATCCACTAACGTATCAAAACATTGTTTTAAACATTCTATTCCTGCAACATTTTCTTCATTAATAATAATTTTTGCAACACCATTTTGAAGCGCGAAACCTAAAGTTTTTAATTTTGAATACGGTTTTAGATATTTTCTTAATGTTTTAGTTTTTTTAGTTATTATAAAAGATGGTTTTGGATACGAAATTGTATTTTGTGACGGTTCATTTTCTTCAGAACTAAAATTTTCGATAAATGGTGACAAAGAGGAAAATGCTGATGAAATAGGGAAAATATTTCTATTATATTGAGGATTACTTTTTTGTGAACAACAAATCAATTCTTCGTCATCAGAATCATTAACAGGTAGGGTTATTAAATTATTTTTTAAATTATCTTTTGAACTGGAAGCTACACTATCATCTATTTTTTTTCCTTAGAAGACGCATGTTAATAATTCATCACATTTTATCACAGAATCATTTTTGTTATCGGTATCGTCAACGATCACTTGTGTATGTGTTAAAAAATCGTCTGTTATCACGTCCTCACTGTTGTCAAATTCGTTTATAAATTTATTTAGTTTGTTATTTATGTCGATGTCTGTAGTAATATCCAATTTTGTGTTGAGATTTTTTGTGTCAATAGAAGTTGATTCTGTATTTAAAATAACACGAGGATTTGAAAAGTTTTTGAAGGCGACAACTTGCAATAAATTAATTTTGTGATCCATTTTAAAAAAATATTTACCTGTAAACAGTTAAAAACAAAGTCACAAATCTGGTCACACGAACCATAAAATAATTAACTATTTTAAATCTGTTCTGTGATTAACTAGAAAGAAGTGTCAACTCTGTGTTAAATCGTGGAAAATGGTTATGTTATAAGTTATAATTGGGTTATAATATGTCTTTGGTTATAATCGTTGCAGTCTGCCAGCCATAGCTGCCAGCCAACTGCCAGCCTTGCTGCCATGATACAAAGAATACAAGGTATGATATTGCGCAGGTTGGTCACTACGTCACAGGTGATAAACGGCTCCATTGGTCGGCAAGTTCCGCGCGCCAATTTCAAATTGTCAAACAAATGACACAATAAACGTCAAAATAATTTTTCAAATGTCAAGCACGATGATTTGACATAACTTTTAGGGTTATGTCCTAATTCTTCCCTATTTTAGGTCTTTTTTTATTAGTGGCAATTGCACAATATGGATATTTTTTTGTATGGCGTATGACGTCACAGGCAGGGTTCGGAAAACTACATGTTACTTTTAAAAACTACATAAACTACATTACATGTAGTTAATGTAGTTTATGTAGAGGGTGTAGTTTATGTAACCTATGTATGTAACTTTCAAATATCAAAGGTTTGAGGTGAGGTTATAAGAAGTTGAAGCTTTAAAAACACATAATGTATTTAAGAAAACGGAAGAAATATGGCTTTAAATATAATATTACATCATATTATCTCTATTGCACCTCATACAAAGGAAAATTATTCATAATATCAATACATAGTTTATTAACGTAGTTTTCATGTAGTTAATGAACTGGAAAAGACGTAGTTTTGAAGAAAAACTACACGTAGTTAATCAGGTAAATTACGTCTTAATTAACTACTTCCGAACCCTGGTCACAGGTGGTATGCGCAAACTTAACGAAATTGGGGCCGCTATCGATCATACCATGTTTTCTTTGTACCATGCTTGCTGCCATCCAGGGTTCGGAAGTAGTTAATTAAGACGTAATTTACCTGATTAACTACGTGTAGTTTATCCTCAAAAACTACCTTTTTTTCCGTTCATTAACTACATGAAAACTACGTTAATAAACTATGTATTGATATTATGAATAATTTTCCTTTGTATGAGGTGTAATAGAGATAATATGATGTAAATATTATATTTAAAAGCCATACTTTCTTCTGTTTTCTTAAATACATTATATGTTTTTAAAGCTTCAACTTGTTATAAACTCACCTCAAACCTTTGCTATTTGAAATTTACATACATAGGTTACATAAACTACACCCTCTTACATAAACTACATTAACTACATGTAATGTAGTTTATGTAGTTTTTAAAAGTAACATGTAGTTTTCCGAACCCTGCTGCCATCTCGCTGCCAGCAGAGAACAATCATACCACAGAATCGTACTAATCGTAGAGAAGCGACAAAACCACGGCATATAAATCACACGGCAGGCCGATTCGCTTTGGCGGGAACCAAGGATATATAGAAGAAGGATATTCAACTCCCTATCGGGCTATGTTGGAAAATATGCCGTATTTTGTCGAGGAAGAGGATTTCGTCACGACACTTCCATATCTCTGTCATTCTCCCACTTCCATATCTCTGGTTATTGTACCAAATAAAGACGGAAGACAAATGAAAAATGACATGACAGTTGGCGGAAAGTTTGTTTTCTTTTTTCTGTTGCTTTCATTTGTTTATATTATATTTGATTTTTTACCGATTACTCTGCCGATTATTAACAATTTAATTAAAAAGTAGTTATTAATTTCCGTTGATAATAAATTAAAATGGATCAGGCTCTTACAAGTACTAATAGGAGCGAGGAGATCGATGATGGAGGTCCACAACCTTTAACTAGACTTGAGGTAATTATTCAAACAAATCCTCAAGAAGTTTAGTAGTTTTATTTTTAAACTTATTTGTTGTTTTTGGTCAATTAACATATTATACAAGCTATAATAGGTAGATTCATAAACCTTAATTGATATAGAAAATAGAAATTAATACTTAATTGATATTATATATATTGTTTTTTTAGGCTAACGGAATAAACGCCGGGGATATAAAAAAGTTACAAGACGCAGGCTACCACACTGTAGAATCAGTGGCCTATACTCCAAAAAAATATCTGCTGTCGATTAAAGGCATTTCAGAACAAAAGGCTGACAAAATACTTGCAGAAGCCTCAAAGTTAGTGCCTATGGGTTTCATGACAGCTACGGAATTTCTCCAAAAAAGATCCGATATGATCATGATCACAACAGGATCAAAGGAGTTAGACCGGCTATTAGGTGGAGGTATTGAGACTGGTTCAATCACAGAAATGTTTGGAGAATTTCGTACAGGAAAGACACAAATGTGTCACACTTTAGCTGTTACGTGTCAGGTATAATGATAAGTTTTCTTCAGTATTTTTGGTAAAACTAGGGTATATAATTTTAGTTACCCATTGAAAATGGAGGAGCCGAAGGCAAATGTCTCTACATTGACACAGAAGGATGCTTTAGACCAGAAAGGTTCCTATCAATAGCTGAGAGATATCAAATGGATAAACAAAGTGTTTTAGACAATATCTCCCATGCCCGAGCTTATAACACAGACCATCAGACTCAGTTATTGATTCAGGCTAGTGCTATGATGGCTGAAACTAGGTATTCTTGTTTTATTTGAAATTCTATATTTGTTTTGATAGTGTATTTTTATTTGTAGATATGCCCTTTTAATAGTAGATAGTGCAATGGCTCTTTATAGAACCGATTATTCTGGAAGAGGTGAATTAGCAAACAGGCAAATGCATTTAGCTAGATTTTTAAGAATGTTGCTGCGTTTAGCTGATGAGGTACTAATATTTTTTTTATATTTTAAGATCACTCTTTTTGTTGTAAAATATTTTTTTTATTATATATTTATATGGAAATATCTTTGTAAATTTAAGAAAAATACTTAAAAATATAATGTTTTAGTTTGGTGTAGCTGTAGTGATTACAAATCAAGTAGTAGCACAAGTGGATGGTGCTGCAATGTTCAATGCTGATCCTAAAAAACCCATTGGTGGAAATATTATGGCTCATGCCTCTACAACAAGACTTTATCTGAGAAAAGGTAAGTAATTTATTTAGTATTACCAATTTTTGACAATAAGGAAAAATATGGAATCTCATAGAATCTATGTAAAACCGTGTAGCTATAATTCACAGTAATATCAGTTCAAAGATGCTCTGAAATTCCATGACAATATACTCCAAAAATATTCAAATTTGTTGCGTTATTTTATTTGAAATCTTTTTTGATTTCTATGTATGTAGGTCGAGGTGAGACAAGAATGTGTAAAATATATGACTCTCCATGTTTACCAGAAGCTGAAGCTATGTTTGCTATAAATCCAGATGGTATAGGTGATGCCAAAGAATAATTTCAAATACAGATTCTCTAATTTGTGTGATATTACATCATTTTGTGTTATTTTAAATAAGAAACTATTTTAACTTTCTTTAAAATAAGACAAATTTTTGATTGCATTAATTCTTAAAATAAATATTTCTATTTGCTAATTATGGTTTGTTGAAATAGAAATATAAATACATATTGGAAAAATTATATTTATAAAACAACATTTCATCAACGAGATTTCCCTATTCAATTAAATTTAGAATTTTAGTGTATATAAACCTATACTTTGTGTAAAATATCCAATGTAGAGTATAAATTCCATAGAATAACCAATGTGCCTTTCTCAAATATAAAATTATTGTATAAACATTTGTAGATAAAGGTAAATTTTTAATGCATTTTTTTCTGTAAGTGAGGATTTTTCTAAGTTGGTTCTAACTACCTAATATAAATGTAGCTTAATTTTCATAAAATATGATTTGTGTGAGCTACTCAGTATGCATATGGACTTAAATTTAGTGATGTAAAAAAGATTTGTTATAGTTTTTAATAAAATTTTATAAAACCCTTTATTATAGTTGTTTTTTTTATTAAAGAAAACTGAGATGATGCTTATAGATATCTTTATTTACCTTTGGTAGCATAATACATATTTAAATATAGTATAAGTTCAATAAATATTAGATACAAACGGAACACAAAGCGTGATCCTTTTTAACATGTTATTTTGTAAAAATCCTCTTGTATAATAATTTTAACTATTTTCTTAAAGTTTACTGTGCATTTTAGAATATATTTATATAAACAATTTTATAAAGGAAATATTTATCCTCTTCTCGGAACAGTTCTAGAAACCAAAAAGTATATACTAAAATAGGTATATTGTTTTTTTTTAGAAACAGATTTTTTATTACTGTATTACTTTATACATTACTGAAAAAATATTAAAAAATACCATGTGGCTATAAAAAATACAATATGTAGATGTACAAGTACCATACGATAAAAAAAACGGCGTCAACTAAAATTACAGTGATGTTTTCCAAGGCAAGTTTTACGCCTTTTTATTCATATGGCATAAAATGCAGTTTAAAAATACCATTGCAATAGACGTAAAATTAGCATTTCAATTTTAGCTTTATTACTGCACACTATAACATTTTGGTCTATTGAAAATTCTTAAATGTTAAAATTATAAATAAGCATATGTTTCATAAAGTATTTATATTCTTACATTGTAGCTTTTACTCTAAAAAGGAGTTTGAATAAATCACAAGCAGTTCTCACTGTCAGCAGCAACAGCTATAGTAAAAACCGGACACGAAATACAGGGTGTCCCAGAAATAAGTGCAAGTATTTTAAGGTTAAGGGGTCGTAGATCTGGTCAAAAGAAACATTTTTTCTCTTTACCGTTTTTCAAATAAGTCCAAAATAACCGAATTATTTTACTTTGAAAATTTCCAAAAAAAAAATGATTTGCTAAAATTTTGAGAACCACTGGTTCTTTTCTGGATTTTCTTTCATGTAAATTTAAGCTACTACCTATGTTGCCATATTATCAAGAAATTATGTTTTTTAACTTAAAACAAAAAAATTTCCACAATTTTCTTTCGCAAAAAATACCTCATAGGCGTGTTTCTGACGCCGGAATATACTACCAGTTAAAATACTTGCATTTATTTCTGGGACACCCTGTATAGTAAAAGGTTAAACTGCAATGTCATTTTTTCCATTTTCCACCTACTGTGGCATACTATTTATTACATCACCAATAAATACAATTTGATCGAAAAAAACAACGGCGTTAGCGATGGCTATGAAATGAAAATCGCTGTAATTTTATATGTAAAATTATATGAGGAATATCATCGGTGTTCATTTCCAAGCCAACTGGACGTCGTTTTTTTTCGATCATACGGTATTATCTATGTTGATTTTATATATTTCATAGACATAGTAGGCGTAAAAATAAGTTAATATTTTTTTTTATTCGAAGAAATAAACATTTGGCAGTATACAGTTTTACTGAGGTCAATAATTTTAGATATTAAAAAATTTTTAATATCAACACCCATATAAAGCTATAATAATAGGTAGTAAAAGGATGATTATGTTTTAAAAAGCCATATATGCTGCTATACAGGGTGTCCCAGGCTGAGCGTGCATTAGGAGTTTCTAGAGAACCACAATATCTAGATCGGAGATTTTTTGCACATCATTGTTTTGCAACGAGACCTATCGATTAAAAATATTTTCAATATGGCGGCACTTCCGGAAATACCGGAAGTTGACAGCAACTTTCTTATTTTAAATGGGTGCCCATATTTTTTATTACGTACTTAAATTCCCTGTAAAATTCTATGAATATTGATGTTAAACACTCCATAACATTGATGTTAAACACTCCATGAGAAAAAAAAAATATTTAAAATTTTTGGACGAAAAAGCTACCTGTCAAAAAAATTTGTATAGCCTAAAAGTCAAATTTAGTGATTACCACAGCCACTGTGACATAAAGAGAAGACATGTGGCTACCTATTTCAAAAATTAAATTGGTCAAATGTCATATAATATTGGCGGTAGCTGTCATGGAATTGAGCGATTAAAAAATTATCATAAATCATTTTTTTCAAATGGAAACCCACTTTTTTTATTTCACTGATGAAAAGGTTTTTCAATTCGTTACTTTTTAATTATACATGTTCCTATACCTAAAATCGTTTTTAAGTTTTTTAAGATTTAATTTGAAAACGTATATTTTTCTTCATTTTATCTAGCTTCCTTTGACATTAAGTGTCAAACGGTCAGACAATTTATTTCCGTCTGCCAGAAAACGAATCATTTGAATTTCCTATATTATAAATACTGCCTGCTTGAGAGTTTAAAAAGTGTATTTATAAAAAAATATATCTCGTATTTTCGCTCTTTAGTAATATCTAATAGTTGATTTTATTAATAATATTCCGTATGATCCAAAAAAAAAACAGCGCAAAGTTAGCTCGGAAATGATGCTGCTTTTTGAACAAAGCGTCACAATATGATATGGCCAGATCTATTGTTTTACATCAAAGTGACGTTTAAAGTCATAGGCTACTGGTTAAAATCAAGAAAAATATACGCTTTAAAACTGAATCTGAAATAACTTAAAAAAAGATTTATTTTAGGTATAGGAACATGTATAGTCAAAAAGTAACGAATTGAAAAGTCTTTTCACTAGTGACATAAAAAAAGTGGGTTTCCATTTGAAAAAAATGATTTATGATAATTTTTAATCGCTCAATTCAATGACAGCTGCGGCCATTATTAGATGACATGCGAACAATTTAATTTTTGAAATAGATAGCCACATGTTTTCTCTTTATGGCACAGAGGCTGTGGTAATCACTAAATTTGACGTTTAAGCTATACACATATTTTTAACAGGTTTTTTTCGTTTAAAAATTTTAAATATTTTTTTTCTCAAAAACGGTCAATGTTAGGTATAGAGTGTTTAATATCAAAATTCATAAAATTTTACAGAGAATTTAAGTATGTAATAAAAAATGGGGGCACCCATTTAAAATAAGAAAGTTGCTGTCAACTTCCGGTATTTCCGGAAGTGCCGCCATATTGAAAATATTTTTAATCGATAGATCTCGATGTGAAACTATGATGTGCAAAAAATCTCCGAGCTTGATATTGTAGTTCTCTAGAAACTTCTAATGCGCGCTCAGCCTGGGACACCCTGTATATGGGTAAGGGAAAACGATCTCTATTGTATAGGAATTTTTAAGTAATTAAAAATAATGCATACATTAACACATTTTTTTTGTAACCTTAACATATTTGGCAACATTAATTACAGTTTTCTGATAGTCAGTTTTGTGATCTTTTGAGAGAAAAAATTACATTTGAAAATAAAAAATACCAATAGGGTATTATATTACAAATAATAATATACTCCTAGATGATATACATACATACATCAATCTCAATATTCTAAAAAAAATATTCATTACTAGCCTTGTTTGTATGAATTTCAAATAAAAAATTAAATAAATAACTAATGCAAATTGTGAGACCTTTGATTTATGCTGTATTTATTTATAATCACATGGTATATATAGGAACTTAGTAAAATTAAATTAATTTATCCTTTCCTTTTCCCTTCATGAAAGCATTATAGGCATAATATTTTTCTAGATTTATTAGACTAGAGGCGGATCGTCATCGTCATCCTGACCAATCATAAACTCATCATAATTCCTATTTCTTTGGTTCAGTCGGTGTCTCAACCATTTTACTAACTCATACCTCTTACTAATATAAATACTACATATCACAAGTACAATTAGGCATAGGGGGATCAGAATGCCAGCTAGCAGACTTCCATTGCCCTGGTTCTCCACAAGACTGGAATAACTAACAGGGGGGCTGGGCTTTATGCAAGCCCCATTCTCACTAACAAAGTCTGATAGACAGGTGCATGTATTGGTTGCAGGATCACATTGTTCTGTAGAGTTACAGCTAGGGTTAGTGATAGTCTCTGTGGCATTACAACTTTTTCCAACTAAAAAAAGGCGACATATTACGGCCGTAACTAAAATATCATAGGCCAAACCTGAGAGAAATAACATTTCTTTGAGGGCTGGACTCATTATCTTTTTAAAATAAAGTTAATATTTTCTGAATATATCTTCTTAAAAATTATTTAATAGTTGGTTTAATAGTATGATGAGTTATATTTGAAACTAGACAGTTTTTTGAATATAGGTAGACATATTCATAGATGTCCATAATGTTACTCCAAAGTGCATTTAAGTACTAAAATATTGAGCAACTGGGTTCTTTTAGAAATAGTAATATTGTATTTTACCCTCTACAGTAATATCTAAGGTAATATCTAATGTATTATATTTTTAGTTATTTCCTCAACTAAGTTAATTAATGTAACGGTAAATATTTTTTAATCTTTAAGAAACTGTAAATTCATTGTGTTGTAAATTTAATTCATAACAATCAAAATATGTACATAATTCAGCTTATCTACATGAATGATAAGTTTATTACTCATCATATTCAAATAACTGTTTTGTTTATGTAGTACTTAAAAAAATAATAACCAACTTACCACTAGTTAGAACTTTTACAAAAAACATACACAGGCACAAAAAACCTGCATAATACTTCAAAATAAACATTGTTAAATGATCACATTGCTTAAAAATTTAAAACCTTCAAAATCTTGTTGATTAAAAATCAGATTCAAAACTTATTTATCCCACGCTGCGTTATCTACTAAAAAGATAAAAATATATATCACTTATTACTGTATCAACACAACTATTATATTGAAATTTCCCCTTTCTTAAGGAAAGACAACAAACAACTTGATAAAAATATTGTTAAAGCCGATGAATAATATGAAAAACGAGCTTAGTGAAAAGCTTTTACCTTGTAAATTGAATAATTGGAATTTAAACAGGCTGATACAATTCGAAGCACTTATTCAATTTATTCAAAAGAATTACTTAATTTAAATATATCCGGAATATGCAAGACCATCAACAAAACAAAACGACAAACTGCCAATGTCCATAGACAATAGACATGCAATAGACAGAGATATGCGAATGTCAAATTTGAAAATACTTTTTCGACTTTTTCACATGTTATATTGTTTTGTATATGACCTCGGCACCCTACATAAAAATGAAATAGTGTGAATATAAATTTACAGTGCATAGATATGTATTTTACTTAACATATTCTGAACTTATGAAATTCAATTTTCTATCGTTTTAAATAGCTTTAATCCAGACTATATTGGAGAAAAAGCAAAGGCTTGGGGACTATCAACTTGCCGTATCAATGTTTATATCGGCAGCCACTCGGCAGCTTAGGCTGTAAAGCCAATCAAGAAGAACAAATAAATTCAAAATAGCCACAGATTACGACTTTCCACTATATATACGGTTCTGTTGCTGCCTTTCTGTTTATTTGGTTGTCAAAAGGCAGCTGTTTAATGTTATTTTTTAGAACTTTGAAATCCAATACTTTTAGTAATTAATACAACCATTTTTCCGTTATTAAAACCCTTCATAAATATTATGAGATAGCATAATGGAAGAAGATTTAGGGAAGAGTGCCTGTGATGAATCCACATTAGTTGTTCAGAGCGATTCAGAGGACGAATCCTCGGACAGTGATTTAGAAATTGATTTTGACCAAATATTAATCCCTCAAAGAACTTCTAGTCCCATTCTGTTAAACGAAAACGATATTATTGAAACTTTAAAACACGAAATAGGCAAACAAATAGAAGCAAAAGCTGAAAAAACAAATCTCACTGTTACAAATGTTAAGACTATTATAAGGCAAATTTTAACTCATGAACATGTAAAGGCTTTGATAGTAAATGGCCAGGAATGTGAAAAGGTTAAAGAGTTAGTGTCTTTATATGAACCAAAGTTAACCAGATCCAAAGCTAAGTGAGTATTAAAGAAACACTTTGATTTATGTATCAATAAAAAAATAAATGTAGGGAATTACTTTCTTCAACAACTATTAAATCTGTTCCACCGCCACCTTGGGTTCCACAGCCTCCAACTTCAGAAACTCATGTGTTGATTGGAGAAGATTTGAAGGAAGATGATTCAGGAGATGAATATGTTCCCGGAGAAGAGGTTTTTTTAATTTGTTTTAATAAATTTTATTATATCTAAAGTAATGGTTATTTTGGTTATAGAGTGAAGATGATAATAATGAATCTGCTGCTAGTGAATCAGATACCAGTTCATTACCTCCTCCAACTCCACCAACCCCTGTTTCAATGGAAGACTCTTCTACTCAAACAACAAACTGGACTGATGATGGTGTTTTTAAAATACCGCCGCCTAAAACAGTATGATTATTCACTTTTAGTGCAATTTTTTATTAAACTTGATTTTCCTCATATTAGGATCAAGAAGATATACCCAATATTGCTTTAAGAACAAGATCAAAGATCAATCTGAGTTCAACCCCATTGGAAGCAATAGAACAAAGTTTTGTTCCACCAGATATAACAACAGACATGTATGATATGGAATGCGATGATGATGTGTGGAAAGAATTTTTGAAAGTAAAACATATTTGTTTATACAGTGTTTAAGAATACTAAACTCATATGAAAACTAAATATTTAAGGTTTCTTAAGTAACTTTTATATTCTTATTATATTATATCATATTACAATTTTGGAATTTTTTATTTTTATATTGTAATAGGGATTTACACAACCATTAGAGGAAGTTGCTAGGCCTACTGATGATGAGGAACAAGATCCTGAATATAACATTTTGGCTGATGATGAAATTAATAATGTAGATCGTGAAGATTTTCGAGTAGATAAAGCTGTAAAGATTACAAAAAAAGAGGTAAATCTTCCAATATATAATTTTTACGATGTTGACTGCTAAGAACGAGTTAACTTGTTGGTTAACAGCCAGACGCCAACCACGAGTTATCTCTTTCTCGACTATATTGCAGCGCCATCATGAGTAAAATCATGGCGTTTGGCTTGAAATTTCTAGTGCTGGGCCTCTGCATAAACCAGTAAAACATAGGGAATGGGCCTGATGAATAAAGAGAAGCAATTGCTTTTTCTATAGAACTATTTTGTTGGTGGTTTATAAATTGTATAAGTCTATTTCAACAAATTTAATTAAAAGCATTTGCTTAACTTTTATTCATAAGACCCATAGTTATTTTTTGGTGGCGTCCGGGAAGGGTTATTATGTTAATATACAAATGTCATGGCAGTCAACATGTTAATGTCACATCTGCTTGATGTACACTCTTTGGTATTTACTTTTTTTAGATTAAGCAATTATGGGATGAGTTGTTTGATTATTTACGTGATCTCTCAGAAGATTATGGAGATCAAACAATTAAAGAAAACTCTGAGAACACAAATTTGGAACAGGGTAATCAGATGAATGAATCCCTAATGTCTCAACAGTATTCTGGTGTATTCTTAGAACAAAGGGATTCTGTAGAACAGGTAAAGAAACATTGATTTATAAAAATGTTTTTTCAAGCTGAATCTTAAACTATTTATTTTAGACGCTAATTCCGGTAAAACAAGAGGTAATAATAGAACAGCAACAAATCTGCATTTTAGAGCAACAAGTAAGGCAACATGTTCAAATGTTAACTCAAAACTTCATTCTGTCATATGAGCATCCAGAATATCACAACTTGAGCTCACAGTTTCATGAATATTTGGTAGGTAATATGTATTAAAAGATCTATTTTAGTCTCCAAAAAGACAGAAAACTTAAAAATTATTAGCCAATTGTTTTGATTGTCGATTATTCATTTGTAAATTATTTGAAAAATGGGAACTAATGAGTTTCCTAATGGTGAGTTCATGCTTGCAATCTTAGTCATAGCACTAACATTAGTCCTAGTCCTAACCTAACAAGAATATGAATCAAGGTTAACGGACGCTAGCGTCTAGCGTTTATGCTTCTAATGCCGGGTCCAGACCAAGCAGACAAAACAACGACAAGACAGAAACATTCATATTTTACTTTGAATAAAAAGATGTTTTACGACAAAATAGCGGCAAATCCAATACATTTCTGCGACATTTTTGTCTCAGTTTTGTTTTGTTTCAATATTCGGAGACTTTTCAATGATCGGGCCGGTAAAGATCAAAGAGTTATGTTTATGTTTTGTTTGTATATTTTACGACAAGTTGTCGAAGCAGTGTGGATGGCGTGTGCTGCCAACAGTAGGAGACCAGTGAAATCACACATGGTTAATAAAACTCATTCGCAACAACTAAACTTTTGACTTTTTGTTGTACTTTTGTCGTTGCGGTGTGGACATTTTGTCTCAGGTTTGTCTTGTTTTGTTTTGGTTTGGTTAGGAATTCCCCATTTTTTGTCGCAAGTTTGTCTTGTTTTTGTCTCCAAATCGTGTTTACTTATTGTCGCCTTGATCTGGACCCGACATAACGTATCAACTTACCTCCAAACAGTCCCGTGATACATATTTTTCTTAACTTAGCTGTTTGGTTACCAGTGACCATGTAAGTCACCGGTAAAAGTCGCCGGTACAAAAATATCGCTTATCTCTAGTGTATGCGATGATATCGTATTAATTAATTACGAAAAATACGTATTAAAATGTTGACAAAAGGTACAAAACTAGTATCAGCGTATAGCACATATCAAGTACATATAATATAAGAAAAATAATTATCGAATTCAATAAGAAAACGCTAAAAAGGTGGAGTGTACTGTAAATAAATAAATATAAATAAATAAATAAATGTCTTTATTGTCAAAAAATTTTACAATTTGTAGACAAAGGTAAAATAAACAAACAAAGTAAACAAACAAGGTACACAAACAAACAAACAAAAGATAATACAAAACATTATACAAATAATATTGTCAGTCTTATTGTTTAAAATAAACATTTATATAAATGTTTACAATGTCAAAGAATAAAAAAAGTAAAAATAATATTTAAAAATATTTAGTTAGTTTATAGTAAAAATATCAATGACCTCTAAATAAATTTATTATTATTAATGGTGATTAAGTCATTTGATGTAATCCTATGAAGTGCGGTGTAATGTATGTGTGTTGATGTAATCCTATGAAGGCAGCCAGACGGGCCGCATGCTGTTCTAGAGAGCATAGTAAAAGATGTATCAAAGAGCCAGACGTCTTAAAATACTTGTTTTTCCGACGTTGTTAGCTCTGGTACTATAAGGCCTGAATATTAATAAGGAATAAGCCAAGCTTGCTATCCCTTAATTTTTCAGAGGGTGCTTGATCGTCTGTTCGCGTCAATTCAAATAAAAATTTTTACTCTTATTTGGGGAGCCACTGGAATAATATTTGCCATGACTTTCCCTAATCTTTTGAAGTCGTAGAAGGCTCTCCGCAGAAAAAAATGACCTGAAAGCTGAAAGATCTGCATCAACTTCAGTTGAACCAATACCATAGGCGTTGTGGAAGCGGTAGTATAACTTACATAAGGAGTCCAGGTCACTAGGTAGCCCTTCTGATGCAAGCATCAATTTGATGCTGATACTAGTGTGTCCTTCAAAACACACACTGGATGATTGGTCGTGAAGATAGGCAAGGAATAGCCTAAGAGATTTCAAAATGGAGGGGTCTCTCAACCTGGCCAACACGTAACGTCCATTTACCGCATCTGAGTCCTGAGACAGCCGTACTATAGGTGGAGTCATCGGGTCCATAACTATCAAACCATCTCTCTTCGTACTTCCCTGCACAATTATTTCTGGATTTTCTATCGCCAGGGACTTGCAAGCAGCTATAGCCTCCCTGTCAGAACCAATCTTAATAGTTCTTACCTCCCTTGGCATAGTTGCCATTGGTGGGTCATGTCTGTCTGTTTATTTACCTATGAAATGTAACTACTAGCTGTTTCTTATTGCTGCGGCTTTTACTTCAAAAATCGATAAAATTGTAGCTGATAACCAGCTAATGAGTCATTCGTTACCTCCAAAAAAATGTCGTCTAACATCACAAATTCTGCAGCAGCCCGTATATGGGCGTTACATGTCCTTGTATTCTTTAGTATATTCTCTACTCTTTGCTGTAGTCATTGGTTAGGACCATGTTAGAAATGATGCAAGAAGTATGAGTATGAACCCACCATAAATAATTTAAAAAAATACTCTTAAATATTAAATTTGTAGCTAAATTTGAAAATGCTGTCTGATGGAAAGGATATTTCATTATTTAAGCCAATGAATTTAAAACAAGCACTAGAATTAATTGACGAATGGGTAAAATTGTTTGCCACCAATACATGTGAAGTTCAAGCAACAAGAGAGTAAGTAAAAATAGTAGATATATATATATTTTTAATAATAATACATTCCTATTTTATCTATAAATTCTATAAAAAAAAATGATATTTATTTCAGTCATGTTACAAAAGAGTTGATCAGATGTATTCAGATGAAAATGGCGGGAAATTCAAGCTCTTGTATTTTGACATTTCCCAAATTGGTTCTAGAGACGATCTTAAATAGTCAAGTGTTTTTATATCCCGCCTTGTTGCCGAAAATTCCCTTTAAATCAGATCAATTTTTTGGGCCACATGCTGGTTTCACAGATGCAGAAGATAGGTAAAATTACATCTAGTTTTTACTGTTTTTACTCGCCCTGTATATACAATAAAATTTGTGTTTTTACTGTAATTACTTTTTAATTATAACTATTATTACTATTTAATTATAACAGTAAACATGTAATCTCTATTATTTTATCACTATAAACAAGTGAATTTTAGTTAATTTTTCAGACTTTTAGTGTTTGGTCTGGCCGAATTCACGAAATTTTTAGAAGAGGAAAAACACACTGTGAAAATTAGTCTCAAGGAAAAGGTACAGTATATCCATGATTATATGATGCCTCACAAGGATCCTCAGTATATAATAAGACATATAAATCAAACCAAGCATCCCAGATGCGCTACCAACCCTATCCAACAGTATTTTCTGCATGGTAGAATTAGACCAGTGATACACTATATTTATCCATTAAATCAGGCTGTGGCGCCATCTCAGAGATTGGCTGATGAACTGCCCTATCAGTGGAGAAATTTTGTGTATCCAAATTATGACAAAAATAAAACTATAAAGGTAAGTTTTTTATTTGTATCTTGAAAATAAAATTTTTATTATTTTAAAGCGGCGTACTATGTATAAAAACATTGTCGTTAACAATAATATTCAACATGGTAACGAAATTTTGCTGAAAATCAACATGTTGCTCTTTAGTTAATATTTTTTGATGTTGTTTGTTATTTCAACAAGTTATTTGTTATGGAGTGTTATTGAGTATTGAGCGGTAAAGATCACAGGATATCCGCAACATGTTTCGACATGTTCGTTGTTTAGAAGATTTTTAGTTTTGTCTAGACTAGCGACCGATGTACAGGGTGTCCCATTTTAGTTGAAATCATACGGTATTTCCATTATTAGTGAAGATAGGAGGATGCGGTTTGCACAAACCTGTTCTTTTTGACCAAACAGAAGATGCTGTAAATATTTTTATAGCCCTCTTCGTTTCTGAGCTATAGAGTCTTTTTGAAAATTTTACAATTTGCGTCACCCCTCGTATCTCTGTTATTGTGAGATATCGAGAATGTAAAATTTGTTTCTTGTAGAAATTTTTACGTATAATACAGCGGCGTAGTCTGCGAAAAAAAATATTTTTGGAGGTATGTGATATTTTTGGAGTTATATTTTCTCAAATAGAACATATCATATGCCGGATCACATATTTATAAATCATGTGATCCGGCTTGCTGTAAGCTTCTCAAAAATATACAACTCTATATTTATTTTCACTATTTACTCCGTTATTTAAAAGTATTCATTAAAAGATAATTTTTATTGGTAGGCCGTCATAAATAATAAAAAATAATAATTAAAACAGTTATTAAAAGTATACTGCTATCTGTCTCTTGTTTTATTTCGGGAACCACTATTAAGTTCTTTATATATCAGGGAAACTTACAGCCTACCGCTATTTCTATCGTACCGGAACTTTCAGAGTAGATTCATTTAGCTAATTTGCCTGAAATATACCTACTTTCAGCAAGATAGGGCTCCCGCTCACAATTGAAAATATTAGAATTTTTTTAAACCCTACATATAAAGACGGTCCCACACGATGTGTCAAATACATAGACATATAAATTTATAACACACAAATTTATAATTATCATAAATATATATTATTTTAAAAGATACGGATGCTTTAATTTCTTTTAAGGCTTAATAAAGATCTGGGATTCTTGATTGGGTCTAGCAAATCATTAAATTAATTTAAACCTTTATAAAATAGAGAGGCCACTGTGGAAGAATATCTAACTCTATTTAAAGTCAAATTATTTCTGCTTCATCGAATATTGTAGTTTTTAATTTTTAACTCTATGATTGTAGTTATATTAGTAAAGTTTACTGAATGTATGTATTCAGTAAACTTGATGCAACCTATAAACAATCAGTACCAGAGTAGATTGGTGGTGTCATAAAATTGTAAAGATAAAAAATGTCTATACGTATGTGGTATGTGGCGGATTCATCTCTCCAAAAAATCCTATATGGGCATTCCGCCACTGCAAGAAAATCTACAAAATAAAATGTTATTTTTTATTATGATTTATTAGGCAATCAGAATAATTGCAAGGAAATTCTATGGGCTAATTTGATGACTTGAGAATGACGCTCCAGTTAACGTGATGAGGTCTTCTCCAGCGAAAAATCCTCCTTAATATTCTTTCAAATCAGATGGCCATTGTCCTTTAAGTCTTCTTGTAGGTACTGGTTCAAGTAGAGGCTAAAGTAAGGTATTGGTGTGATCATAATAGTCTATTGAAATGTGTTTTGCTCCGAGTTTGGATGACTTCTTTGACGTACGGAATTTTTAAGTCTTCATGTAGAGTATGATTGGAGACATACCATGGTGCGTCTGTTATCATCCGTAGAATTTTAGATTGGCTCCTTTGTATTATGGCTATATTTGATTTACCAGCTCATTCCCCAGAACTCTGGGGACGAGCTCCATATGTCCAAATAGCTATTATGGTTTTGTATAAAAGAAGTTTATTCTCTAGCGATAGTTTAGGTCTTCTTCCTATTGACCAATATATTATATTGGTTAATAGGAAGACAATAACATATTATGTCTTTTATTTTTAAATCTATTTGCTTACGTTTCTTTACTATGTGTTCTGTCCAGGTAAGCTTAGTATCCAAGTGCATGCCTAAGTACTTGGTAGAGGAAGACTGCGAAATTAGTGTGTTGTTTAAACAAAATAAAAGTTATTTTTTTAAACACTTCTCTTCTTAATTTTTTTTTCTGCGAAATACCCAAAGGAAATATCCATGTAGGATTTTTTTGAGGGAATTGTAAAGATAATTAATATGGTCCTATCAAATTTTACTATTTTTCTCAGGTAGGGTTTTAATCAATCAATAAAAAAGAAATTACAAACTGCATAACTTTTATTGAAATAAATTATCAAAATAATTTTACATATAAAGTCTCGTTATTATAGATACTATATACAGAAACCATAACAAAAAATAACTAATCTTATGACCATTTTTATTGTACTCTTATAAAATATCACATTTACACAATCATGACTCTTCATCTTCAGCCATCATCTGAGCTATAAGCCTTTTCCTTTCTTCAGCTTGTCTCAGTTTCATTAAAGTTACACTTTCAAAGTCCGTATCTTTCACCAAGTTACTTTTTGCACTACTTTGACTATTCTTTGGTGGTCCGTTAACCCATTCTAACTTTAGGGGATTCTCCGACAAACCTAACTCAAAATCAACTGCCATTTCTGCTGCTTTCTTGTCTTTAAATTCAACCAGAGCACTGCCTTTTTTCTTTGGAGACATTACAAGTGCTTGGATATCACCATATTTTGATAAAAATCTATGTAATAATTCACTGGTGTATCCTCCATTTGTCTCGTCTTTTTTGTCTGCTAGCCATTTTATTTTTATGCGATTATTGGCACTGTCCCAATTTGTTTCACTTCGATTTTTTTCTTCGTTTATGGTTTTAAGAACGTTTTGTATCTCCTCCTCTACTTCCCTAGATCCTTCTTTACGTAACCTCTCGATTTCTTCCCTTAATTTTTGTGCTTCCGATTTATTATCTCTTCGTTTCCCACTACTAGCTAGTCTTTCCCTTTCTTCCAAGTCTTCTTTGAGTTTTCTTCGTTTACTGTCTAGCTCTTTGTGTCGTATTGCTGCCTCTTTTTTGCCTTTTAAAACCTTATCATAAGCAGCTCTGGCGGCTTGGTCAGTTAAAACTTCCAAGATTTTGGAGAGTTGATGGAATTTCTTACCGGCTTCAGGGTCGTCACGATTTTTATCTGGATGGCATTGCAAAGCTTTTTTCCTGTAAGCTTTTTTAATTTCAATTTCCGTACTGGACTGCTCGATTTCTAGTATTTCGTATAAATCCATGTCTTCTATTTTTAAATCGTCCATTTTTAACGTCAAATATACTGAAAAATACAGGCACAAAGAGTTTCAAAATATTGTAAACAACTGTAAACAAAAATTTTAAACGTTTTGGTTTTGAATAGTTTTGAAGCATCCGTGTTTTGAAGTTTTGAAGTGAAGACAGAATCTTGACAGATGACAGATGACGGAATTAACCTAAAATTTGTGACATTTGGTCGTTGTCTGATTCAAGAGGATTTCTTGATTTCTTGCAACTGGATAAACTGGATCAGTGCCTTCTATTAAAAGATCAGCCTACGGGCGACATTTATGACGTCACGCTAGTTAGATATAACGGATTAATAAATATGTTGTAGAATACATGGAAAACATAATTATTCCTCAGATTTTTGGTTTGTATTTTAAAAATGATATAGTTTAAATGAAATATACATAATATACAGTTAATAACTACAACATATATACCTATTTATAGTAATAAATACTTTGGCAAATAAACTATGAACCATACAAATGCAGCAAATGTTGTACAATGTACAAATAATATATAGGTACATAAGATAATGGGTAAAATGTAAATATATTTTAAATTTTGGGGTTTGAAAATCGATCTAATTTAACAAAAAACATTTAATATCTACTAATAGTGATGTATTATCATTTGCATTCACAAAATTTATATGTATATTTTGCAAGTATCAATGTTCGAAAAATTATATTTACAAATAATACAATATTATCTAAAAAAAGGCGTCAGCGATGGCTATGAACTGAAGATCGCTGGCATTTTATATGTTAAATTATTCTAAAATTTTGATTTTCTTGGGATTTTAGGTTCGGGAAAAACGCTGATTAAGTTTTCATTTGGTTTTCATTATTTTTATTTGGTTTAAAAAAACGTTTCGGCTAACTATAGCCTTCACAGTGTTGTGTCATATGAGAAAAATAGTGTCGAATATAATCCAAAAAATTACATATACAATATAATTCACACCTCATAATGTTTATTGCAATTAATAAACTAATATAAACTTATCAAAAGATGACCACATATTTTTTAAAATTATTATTCTTAACACTAAAATTACCTACATTGACTATGGAGTACGCAGTAAACATTATGTGCGTGGTGTGAATATTTTATATGTAATTTTTTGGATTATATTCGACACTATTTTTTTCATATGACACAACACTGATGGAGGCTATAATGTTAGCCGAACCGTTTTTTTTTAAATCAAATAAAAATAATGAAAAACCAAATGAAAAATCAATCAGCGTTTTTCCCGAACCTAAATTCCAAGAAAATCAAAAAATTTAGAATATTTAGAATGAAGGTTCAAAAGAATATCAAATTTTCCAGGATTGTAAAATTCTAGTTAATTATTTTATGTGTACAGTTATTTAGGGAATGTCATCGATGTTCATTTCCAAGCCAACTAGACGCCGATTTTTTTCGATGATACGGTATAATTCTTACGTAAAATGTAAATAACATTAGACCAATTAAAACAAAGAAATATGAATTTCTTAGTATTTTTAGTAACACCTTTATTCTTAAAACTTAATTTTGTATTATGCAAATATACCAATTTTATTGTTATTTTATTCATATTGTATTCAGCCATCACTTAAATATTTGATATTAATTTGGTATTATAAATAATCAATACTATTCATTAAAAATTACTGAACAAATATTGTTATGCTTAACATACATTATATATTATCAAACAAAACACATTCTTCTTTTAAACTGTATCAGTCTTGTCTTTACAAAAATCTTTTTAAAATTTGAACTCAAAATAATAATCTTTTTCATGATCTCTAATACACATATTCTTTATTTTTCCCTAGTTCATAATACCTACTTACGTGTTTGAATCTATCGAAGCTAAACCAGCAACACTTGGAGTGGAGATTCCACAATATGAATAAAATAAACATAATTGTCCAGTTTTCATTAATACCATCATGGGAGAATATTATTTTTAAATTTATTAAAGATATTTTCAATAAAATTCTCTTGATTTATAACTCGTACCCACTTTTCTTGCTCTTCCGGACACTTTAGGCTGCCTAGTATAATAACTATCCTTAGTAACTATCCTTTCCACCAGGAACACAACAAAGATGAGGCATAGCACCAATAACACACTCCACTTAAGCTTTATTGATGAATTGTTAGAGTCTTAAAAAACACACACAAAAATCACGATAAGTAAAAAATGTATGGGCACTTTTAGGTTAAATCACTTGCACAACGTGTAATTTTTAAAATTTCTATTTTTTTATGCGAAACCGAGAGTGACCATATATCTGGTAGTAGTTTATGTCACTTCAACACCAAAATAATTAGTTTTTTGCACTACAATAATAAATAATACCAAAAATCAAAGAGTTAAAACCAAAAATCAACCGACAAAATATGAAACAGAATCTAACCCAATATCTAAGTATGTACAGCTGATGAAGTAAACAAAAGTCCGCCCGTAGGCTGATCTTTTAATAGAAGGCACTGACTGGATGCAACTTTTTAAGAAGTTTTCTATGGTTTTCATTTTGGTTATTTAGGAAATTCTGTATATTTGCTATTAATTGTTTTGGTCTGTAAATTTATGACTGTAAGTTTGAAATTCTGATTATATAAGGCGGATTTTTGTTTTATTTTAAATATGTAATGTGATTTTGGTAATGGTGTGGATCCGGTGGCTGACCTTGAAACGAGTTTTTGCTGCATATAGTCACAGACACTACGCATGCGCACATCTTCGATGTTGCCAGATTGCAAGTTATTTTGGAATTATTTTCAGTAGAAAACAAATATGTGCTTTTCAGTGTTTTTTTGTCAATATAATATACCGTATGATAGAAAAAACGGCGTCCAGTTGGCTGGGAAATGACGATTAAGGACATTTCCCATATAAAATGACAGCGATCTTCATTTCATAGTCATCACTGACGCTATTTTTTTTCAATCATAGTACGCGGTATATTATTTATGTTATTATTTTAATATTTCGCACAACACGTGAACGCTTATTATGTATTTTCATAGTCAATAAAATTAAATAGAAATAAAACTCTAGATTCCTATAATTAATCTAATTGCTCTAGATTATTATCACGGCATATAAATCACACGGCAGGCCAACTCTCTTTGGCGGGAACGCTACGCGCATACCGTCGCGCACGCCGCCATTACGGTTTCCATCAACAGAAAGTAACCAGTGTCGTAGTTTCTTTCATCGACTACGCACACTTTCGGCTGATTCGAGTCAGTAGCGTACGGATTAATTTATTTTGTTTATTTCTTGAGTTATTTTATAGTTGTTGTTTTATTTTTGTTTATTGTGTTATATATTTGGTTTTTCTAGTTTATTTTCGTTTCTTGTGTTATATAATTTATTTTTGTTTTTCTGAACATTTTTAAATCGTTAATTCGTGTTTTTAAAATGCCTGGGCGAAGTTGTGCAGCAAAAAACTGCCCGAGTAGAGGACTAAACTGCAATAAAAGTTTCTTTCTGTTTCCTAGAGATCCGATTAGGTATGTATATACATATGTGATTAATTATTTTAACATATTTTAGTTAAAAAAACAGTGGTATACATATTAGGACATTCAGCTAAATAGGAAGATCTAATTAAAAATCTTAACAAACTTTAATATTAGTAAGATTTAATGTTAAATATTTAGTAAAATAAAATTTAATGTATCTAGAATCTAGACATTAAAAATTAAATTTAAAAATCATTATATTATTCATTTAAATATAATTATAAAAATAAATAAAATGAGTATATCGAAAATAAGTTAACAATACATTTTTAGGGCAAGAACATGGGCAATTGCAGCTAACGGAGAAGACTTGATTGAAGATATAAATAAGGCCCACAAGTATAGGTTGTGTTCTGTTCACTTTGAATTTAAAATGTTTACCAATTCACTTTGTAACTGTATAAAATACAATGCGGTACCCACTTTGTTTCCTGCCATGAAAAAAATAGAAGTTTCTCAAAAAAAATTGTGGATTTATTAATTTGTGAAATTTGAATATTAATAAAATTTGCTACGCCCATTGATGGGCATAATTTGTACGTAGCCTCTTTATATTGTTCAATAAATATTTTATTGGTATTTTTTTAATTCTTGTTTGTAACTCCTGGCATGTTTTTGTTAGTTGCATGTTTTTTAATTTTAATTGTCTATTCTCTACAGTGAAATATTTAATTGATTCTTTCATTTTTACTTTTCGAGAAGTATGCGCGGTTAACGATTCATTTGTTTGGACAAAAGTATTGTAAATAAAATTCAGTTTCAGTCAATTACAGTATTTTTTTAATACGACCCTGTCGTATTTTCTGAGAAATTTTTTAATACGTTTTAATCCGGCCCTGACTAGGAAACCATAATGGCGCCGACAAGGTCAGATTTTATAGAAATTTTAAACAATGGAATCTGAGTAGAGTTGGCGTGCCGATTGTTTTATGTGCCGTGTTATTATGCTACGTTTAAAAAGGGCTTTATTAAAAATTCGGGAAATTAAAAGGGATGTGTCCAAGTTTTTTCTTTTTTTTTAATTTTTAAATGCTGTAGCTCCATGTCATGTTCATAATAGTTTTTTTTAACATTCCATCAAAACTACGGAGGCCTTAATTTAAAAGGCCTTTTAGCCTCCGTAATTAAAATGGTAGAATCAGCTTCAGCAACATTAACAGTTACCTTGTTTAATCTGCTTATATATATATTGCATTAATTTTTCTGCTACCTTAAGATTTCTCTATTCTTACACCTAATTTATGTGATTTTCTTAGCATATGTGATATATGATTTATAAACCATTTTCCTAATGGAAGGATGGAATAGGATATGCAAAATTAAGATATTTTAACATTTATTTTCCAGACAAAGCATAATATAGTATTAAGATTAAGACATAACAAATATAAGAAAGATCTTAATATAAATCACAAACTAAGTCTTAATTTGGTCTTGTATAAACACAGGTATAAAACTAATAAGATCAAAACTCAACCTTCACCATATTGTCAAGATTTGGCATTATAGGAAACAAGAAATGACAGTAAATTAAGAAAAGAATATCAAAGTATACGATATTAAATACTGTAAAGTATTCTACGACACAAACCATCTCCCTTCTAAAGAGAAAAAGATAAAACATAAAGCTTATTTTAGACTTATCACCACAACTCTTCGATAAAATATGTGTCTAAAATTGCTATTAATCCACTAACTTGATATTTTTAAGAAATTATGATACCAACATTATAATCAAAGTATATTATATTAGTAACATTATAGGTAAAATGTTACCTCTATCTCCCATTGACGTGTATTGTTCTATAAGACTCGTCATGGTAGTACTTCAATACATCAGTATATATAATCAAAACTATTGTTGCCTGTAAATAACTAGAAATAAAATAATTCTAATAAGTTTAAAACCATTAAGAAAAAATCAGTAAATGATAATTTTTAATTCTAATGTAAATATATAAATAAATGTTTTATTATTATTACAATTTTATATATTCAATTTTATATATCATTCCTTAATTTTGGATATCAAGATAAATCTGAAATTATAAAATTAATTATAGAATTTGTATTATTATTGATCAACACTCAAAAAAAATTTTTCAACTGCAAATAATTCGAAAATAAACTGCAATTTGGCATCCTCGACGATGTGCGCTTGCGTAGTATCGATGATCAAAAGCAGCAAATATGGGCTTCAAGGTCAGCCACCGGATCCACACCTTTACCGTGATTTTTAATAGTTAAGTTGCATTTCTAATCAATTTGCGGGCCAAGTTAAACTTCAGCACGACTCAAAAATCTGATCGCCAATTCATATATTTGAAATTTGACGTTTCACAACTTGATTTTGAATTTTGATCAAATGTCAAATGTCAGTAAAACAAAATATAATTAACAAAAATAATAAATAATATAGATATCAAAATCATATATAACAGACCTAAAAATACTAGTCAAATTATAGAAATTCGTGGGGTTTAATCAAATTTTAAGATAAGTCAGTATTAAATGAAGCAAAGAAGAATGAAAATAAAGAATTTAGGTCATAGTTGTCATAGTAAACACTATTTTTTATGTTTCAGGTTAACAATCCTACTGTTCGTACATCTAATTTACCCCAAGTATTTTTCATAAATTCACCCTTTTTGGGAAGTCCTATTTTAAGTAGCCCTATATTTTCATTCAACTCAAGTCAGCGTAGAACACGGAACACTTCCAAATTATACAATCAAACCCCAAGAATTAGAAGACAAAGTTGTCGTAAGGTTTTGAATAGGAGTTTTAACAGTGTTGATCAATTTATAGCTGTATTTAAGCAACCTGTATGTGTTCAAAAGTTGATACACTTTTTGGCTGAAATAGAACCTGAAGAAAGTAATAGTGTTCCTAAGGAAGTATTTCTTAAAGAGGGAAAGCATAGGCCTAGTATGCTCAGTATGCCTAGTTTAAATACGCCAGCGAAGAAGACATCTACAAATTCTGATGAAGCTTTTACTAATGTTAATAGGAGTGATAATGTAACTCCAAACAATATCCAAGTAAATGCAGAACAATTGGCTGAAATTGAGGCCGAAGAAAGTAATAGTGTTCCTAAAGAAGTCTTACCTAAAGTTGGAAAGAATAGGTCTAGTATACCTAGTTTAACTATGCCAGTGAACAAGACACCGAAGAATTCTGATGAAGCTTCTACTAATGTGAATAGCAGTGATAATGTAACTACAAAGAATACCCAAACAAATGTAGAACAACTGGCTGAAATAGATCCTAAAGGAAGTAATAGTGTTCCTAAAGAAGTCTCACCTAAAGTTGGAAAGAACAGGTCTAGTATACTCAGTATGCCTAGTTTAAATACGCCAGTTAAGATGATACATAAGAATTCTGATGAAGTCTCTACTAATGTTAATGAGAGTGAAAAGATAACTACAAAAAATACCCAAGCAAATGCAGAACAAAAAAGTTCATCAAGCTTGCAAGACCAAAAGAAGGATAAATTCGCAAAAAATTTAGAATTCTCCACCATAAGTAGCGCCAGTTTTCAGCAAGCAGAAATGAGTTCAGAGGTTGAATTCTACAGAAATTCAAGTGATGTTCAAATTTGTCAAACATCACAGAGCGTTGTGGATAGAATTCAGGAACCGGTGCAAGATATCACTCAAAAACAAAAGCCAGAAAAGGTAAGTTTTAAAAATTATTTAGGGAAAATCGGTTTGGTATATATGCAGATTTTAAATATGACTTGACTGACTTATATACAGGGTGCTACAAATTCGAGGTACAAGCACTGGTATCTCGATAATCGTAATAGATACGAACATGGTTAAATTGGGGCAAAGTTGCGTACTGTGATATTCAACAAGATGCCATCAAAAAAGTTTTAAAAATTTCAAGGATTGCTGAGTTTTTTGGAAAAAAATGATTTTTTGGAAAATCAATTTTATTTTTTCCTGTCGTTACTTTTTAGAAAATCAAAAAACTAATTACACGTTCTCATAGCCACTTTATTAGGGCTATCTGACAGTATTTTTAGATTTTCAAATTAGCTGATAATTTGTGAGATACAGAGGCCAACTTATTTTTTTTAAATACGGACCTGTATTTATTATTTCAGGTTTTGAAAGAACTCGGTCTCCTGAATACAATGATATGCCACACTTTATACTTTTTTTGTTTTGGGTACCTTAACAGCAACAAAACTATTTAATTATTATTTAAAATAATTTCAAGTCCGACTCTGGTTTCTTAAATTATTTAATCTTATTATATTCATCACAACAATATTGATCAGCGTTAATTAACATTGAATAAGGAAAATCGCGAGCCAATTGGAAGATTGAAATAAATAATATTGAGGTCAGGAATTTAAAGATATTATTTTTAACTTTTTTTATTGTGAATTTGAAATCACAGTGTGCGATTTAATAATATACATAATATTAAACGTAGTTATTATAAATTAATCAACTTACTACAAACTAGTTTCTAATGTTCTACGTGCTCGAAAAGATTACTACCCTCCCTATTGCACAAACTTATTTTTTGTTCAATTTTTTTAGCTCTTTGAACTTTCTTCTTATACTTCCGAATGCATTTTGTACCTACTCTTTATTGTAAATGTTGAGATAATTGATTTCCCTTTTACAAATGACGTCAAGTAATGTAGCCCCTTGGCGATAGGTCCAGGAACCTCGCTGGTCATTATACTGCTCCACCATTTCCAATCCATCTTCCGGGAAAATGATTTGATTGTTTATATTATATTTATATTAATTATTTTATATTATTTTATTGCATTTGATTTTCCGTATACAATGTTTTACCTCACATTAAGTTTGAAAGCTTATCAATACTGAAACGATGAATAGATTAAATATTAAAAAAAACAGAGCCGGACTTGAAATTAATTTAAATAAATTGTGTTCAAATATCAAAACAAAAAAATATATTAAGTGTGGCATATCATTGTACTCAGGAGACCGAGTTCTTTCAAAATGTGAAATAAAAAATGCAGGTCCGTATTTAAAAAAATTAAGTTGGTCTCTGTATCTCACAAATTATCAGCTAATTTAAAAATCTAAAAATACTGTCAAATAGCCCTAATGAAGTGGCTATGAGAATGTGTAATTAGTTTTTTGATTTTCTAAAAAGTAACGACAAGAAAAAGTAAAATAGATTTTCAAAAAAATAAGTTTTTTCCAATAAACTCAGCAATCCTTGAATTTTTTTAACCTTTTTTCATGGCATCTTGGTGAACATCCCAAGGCGCAACTTTGCCCCAATTCAACCATCTTCGTATCTATTACGGTTTCCGAGATACCAATGCTCGTACCTCGAATTTGTAGCACCCTGTATATATGATTGAATATGAGGTTTCATGTTGTATTGCGGGTGTTTAAGGTTTTCCTAGAAAATGAGTATTGGCAATATATTATATATACAATATATACAATATAATATTACAATACATATATACAATATAATATATACTCATCTCATATAGATTTTTTTTATTGGAATATCTCAGCAAAATAAATCATTAATTCACCACAATACACCAAAACACCTTACTGTTGCACTGGACGCGCGTTTAGCTAACCATGTTACCATCATCAGCAGATGATTAAAACTAAACTGAAATCTACAAATTGAGCGTTTGTATACTCGCTCAGTTGGCATTGAGTAGGCGTGGCAACACTATCCAAGCAAGTTAAAACCAACTGAGCATAACAATTAATTACCGAAACTAGAGCAATAGGATCAGAGAACTGAAAGGAATTGGACCGTTGTCTCTGTTCATACTATCTTTACATTTATTAATTTTGACGCTCTCATATGTATCTTGAGAGCCTGTAATTTGAGACTTGTTTAATTAATTTTAAATCATTAATATCTATACAAGGTTCTTTATAACTATATTGTCAAGAAAGGAAACTTATATAAAATAACTTAACATAAATTCATTTTATAAATCAATTCAATATGAAAGGAAATATAAAATGTTTTAAGTTCATTAGCATATCGAGTTTACGAACAAAAGTAAAGTTTTCATAATCAAAATTATAAAGGGGAGTTTACACGGTGCGAGCTAGCGGGTCAGTTGAGAAGGCCAGTAACTATATGCGAGCTACTGTAATCGTTTAAACATATCCGCCGAGTTACTGTCCCGGCAAGTATGAGCAGTTACTGAATGCAAGTAACTTCAACAGTTTTTGATTTTACTGGCCACTTGCCTTCCCTCACCAGATATTAATCTGTAAGTAAGTAGTAATTATGTTAATATAAAACATACTCTTTTTCAAGACTTGCCAAATGACGTGCAAATGACTGCCCAGAAACTTATTATACAGCTACTTTACTTCGTGTAACCAGGTAAGCAGCTGTTCATTTTGTCTCCCACTCGCCAAGTTCAGCTACTGTCTACTGGCTAATCCAGCAACTCGTACTGTGTAGACTCCCCTTAAGCCGAGTTATAAGCATAATTGGCAATTGCAAAAAATATTTCCTTTCAATATAACGAATTTATAAAATCATCAAATCCGCACAACGCGGTCATCACACCGACGCGACGCACAGTGTTGTTGAATAACTTTGATTTTTTTCTCTTAACATATATAATATATCGAGTTCTTTTTTACATTTTATAGTTGCTTCACTCTTTATAATGTTGTTTTTGGGTGTCATTTTTCTTTTCTCTACTAAAGGAAAACATTTGTTAAAATGTGTTAAAACAATTTCTAGAAATAAGTCCCATTGTTTATTTACATGCGAAGGTGGCAGTTTATAAATTGTATCCCATGATATTTCTGTTAAGGATGACTTAAACAATGCTTTATTTTTTTGACTAAATATTCGAATTTTTTCTCTTTTTTTATCTTTATGTTCCGATATAAATTCAATTTTTTGTGCAGTATGATTGGAGATCTTAGTGTGCAATACATAAGTTTTATAATTTTCACTAAAATTGGTAATTATGTTATCGATATAGGTAGAACTGTTTTTGCATATTCTTGTGGGTTCGGTAATAGCATAGTGCAGATTATATGACCGCAAGACCGATAATAGAGCTTGACAACTTCTATTACTGACTAGAAAATCTACATTAAAATCACCAAGAATAAATATACATACAAAGTAAAAGTAAGTAAAGTTAAAGTAACACCTTAACTAGTTTCCAAAAACGTATAAGCCTAGAAGCATCAAATATGAGAAAATTTTTATTATACAGGGTGTCCCAAAAGTAAGGAAGTAATCAACTTTTTATAATACTAGTTTTTTCTTAAGGCTCTCCTTCCCACTGGCGCAAGCCTAGCATTTGTAAGGGTTTGGCTGTCACAAAATGCTGCAAAAACCATGTGACCTTTCACACGAATCTTTTTTTATTTGTTTGTATACATCTTAAGACGTGCTTATAATTATATTTCCTTCCACAAACTCAACTTAAACTGTTTCAAATTTACCCCTAAAACATCTTAAAAAAAGATGATCAAAGCAAAACATCTGAAGGCGGGTAAGGGGACAAATAACTCACAATCTTTAAGATGTTTATTTAAATTTTAATGCTTAAAAAGAGCAAGGGGGGCCGAATTTGCCCCCTTTGCTTATAATATGTACTCTCACTGGGTTAGAGAACGTTTAGTTAAAAAAAAAAGATGATTTTATAAGTAATTTTTTTAGCATTAAATGTATTCAAATCGATTTTAAAACTAATTACGAGCATGTCCGGAACCTTCCTTAATAAAGTGAAACAAAAATTATTTCAAAATATTAAAAAACGTGGTCGCAATTTTGTGACGCCCGACCCTGATCATTGATCATTTTTGCTGCCCGTAATGTGGCGCCTCCACGTGAATTTTGTCGCTAACGCTTTGGAAGGCGGGCAAAGGAAACCAGGTACGTATTCGAATTATTTGGATAAATTATTTTATAACGCTTGTCTCTTACACAATAATTTGAAATTTTTATTTTGTAATAAAACCACACGGCTAACAAAATTTGCGTTGCATCTATTGTGTGTGTATGGTCATTGATCATGATGTAATGTAACAAAACATAAAACAATAAATAATTAATAAGATGGTTTGACCACTGTGAATTAATATTTTATGCTATTAAATTATTTTCACTATGCTTCAGTTGTCATGGTAATGGAAGCCCACAGCGCCATCAGGTGAAATCAGAGAATGCATGGGAGGGGGACGAATAGTCTACGCCGAGCGACTGTTTTTAGTGGAGCGGTTTTACATTAAACATGTCCGATGAATTATTAATCGAAAGTGGACGAGACCATAATCATACTTAATATACGGTTTTTTATAAAAATTTCTTACAAGTACCTAACCTATATTGTTTAATACAGTTATTCAATAACTGAATTAGAAAACCTTCCGATTAAACCCATTTATTTCTCATCTCGTTTTGATTATCTCACATTATTATGGAAATTGAATTTAAATATCGTCAAAAAACTTATCATGTTATTTAATTTTTGGTTTGTTTTGACGTTAGTAATAACAGCTGATAAATAGTCATCCTATGTTACTATGTTCACAGAACACACTAAAGAAGAACGCTAACTCCCATGCATTTTTTAGTTTCAAAACGGTTTCAAATTTGTAAAGAAATCTGTAATCTGTATGTTGAAGTGGCGCCATCTAGCCACCCAGGACATTTTATGTGC